TCTTTCCCTGTGTCGGAAGATTCCTCTGCTGATTCGCGATCGTTCACTGGTCGAAATCGCGTTCCTCTCGGGACTTTTTGCTCCTCGGTTACCATCACACGGACCGTCATCACTCGCGATGCGACATACTAAGAAGATGGAGCAAAAGGCGAGGTCGCGATCGGAACTCGACTCGTGGGAAACGTACGAGCACTCGTGATCCGAGTTTTATGGGAAAGCTGGGAATTCGATGGATAGTTGGTTCGTTGTCGACGCGAAACATCGATCGAGACTATCTATGGACGAGCGAAATCGACGGAGGATCGCGGGAAACGACGAGGAAACCTCGTCTGGCATTTACCTCGACATTTATGAAAGTTGATCGTTATTCGGTTAAAAGTGGAAAAAGCCCAGGGAGACGCGTGGGAAAAGACGATGGTCGCGGCGTAGCCTTGTCACGTCCGATCGGCGAGGCAGAAGCATCAGGGTCCCGCAACACATCACCGTGTCTTTCACTGGTACGTTTTTGCCGCACAGTTCGAGTACACTTCACTCGCGACTACCTGTGTGTCAGTTCGACGCGCGAAAATCCACGTACTGACGGAGGCTCGGCGGAAAGAAGCGCGGCCAAGGAGCGTAGAAAAACGGTCTCAGCGCGTAGCGGGAGAAGCATGAAGCAGGAAGAACGCGTAAGGTCGAATGGGGGGAACGGTAGCTGAGAGATAACGAGGAAAGAAGAACACGGAGCGATGGAAGGCAGAAGGGAAGGTCGAAGACCGTGAACGGAGAAGGACGAGGATGCCGAAGCGGTGCAGCGAGTGGAAGAAGGAAAGGCAAAGCCACGCGGATGGAAGATGGCGAAGGATGTCGGAACTGTAAAGGTAGGTAATAATAGAGAGGCTAGCTGACAAACGACGCGCGAAGAAAGAAGAGGAGAAGAGTAGAAGTGCAAGAAGATGACTCACCGTTCTTCCTACCGGAGGTTTGCGTGACACGTATGGCAAGCGAGAGTCGCGTACACGCGAAAATCGTCGCGAGGACCAGTATCGCGTAGCCACTGTAGAGTCTCATGCTTGGAATCGGTCGAAACTTTCTCGAACTAGATCTCCGACTTCTGGTGAGACTTGCTGAGGCAATGGCTCAGCGCCGACTGAGACGTTCTTTGTGCTTGCCGCTCTATCTCAACTGTCACTTCTCTCTCGTCGGGTTTCACACCGTCGCCCCGGTATCCCCAAGGAAGCGAAACTACCACCACGTCGACCACGACGACCACGACGAGCACGACGACCACGACGACGATCACGTCGCTGACGGACCCGCGAGGTCACGAATTTAGTCCCGAAATCCCGCGGAGGCACGCGTCTATCGGTCTTATCCGACTAGCCGTAATCCAGTGTATGCTCTTGTACACCTATTTAAAACCTATCGCTCCACCTCGCGCTCCTTACTATTGGCTCCTGCCCCAATTCCTTGTCCAATGATACACTCTCGCGCGCATTCACCTCCTTTTCAGATCGAAACGTACGCGACCGGTCGGAGAGGTGGCAGAAAGTGTTGGCTAGTAGGTGGTAGGTGGTAGCAATATCGGGTAGGTGGTAATATCTCCGGATGTTTGGAAGGCGCCGCACTAATAATGAGCTTAGAGGCCTGGAAAAGTGACGTTCAAGTTCCCCTCCGGTTCGACTCTGGCTCCACTCGATGAAGGTGAAGGGGTTTTAGGTGGGGTTCCTTTGCTTCGAACAAGACCGCTTCGCTAACGCTGGCTTTCCTCTACGCCCTTCTACAAGCCCGTTCTACCGGGTATATCGCTCTGTCTGACTCTGATAGTGGTAGGCTACACGTGGTGGGGCCGGACACCTTGTCTACGCTCGAGCTACGTTCCACGTTCTTTTAGAAGCTTCCTCGCACCGACACATGTTACACGTCCCCGACTCGTGCTATTCCTTCTTTCGCGAACCGCCGTGCCTCATCGCGATACCGCGTTTCGGCCACGGCTTACTTGGCACACCCTCACGGACCACTTTGGCGCACCTTGACAATGAGCTGCTGCGATCCTTCCGACTTCTCTGCTCGCGACCACCTACCACTGCCCACGACCACCGCACGTTTCGCTTTTCGCCCGGCTAGACTGCAGGATCATCGGGACTTGGACTCGATTCCGATAGAGGAATCCGAGTGGATAGGTTTGTCCTCTATTCCCTATTGCTGCTAGATAAACGCACCTATAAATATCGATTGGCAGGTACTGTTTATCGGTTGTTGAAAAATTCTCGGATACCCGAGCGTTGAGCCAGCGTGAAAGTGGTCGAATAACGCTATGTCCAACGAGATTTATTCAAGTGGTACGCATATTTACCGGTGCTCTCGGATCAGGTAAAAATATTCTTCTTCCCGGCTGGTTCGCCAGTCGTCGATTTCTCCTTTCCACTTTTTTCCTCGCTTGAAAATATTCCCCGATCCGCTTTAATGACCGGCCGTTTTAATTCTCGAAAACAGGCATGTGTCGGAAATCGGCGGTACCTAACCGTCCAAGTGATTCACGGTCCAAGGTATTTTTATCGAGATGTCCAAAGAGCTGCTCACGGAATGCTGAATCCGTTACCCTGTTAATCACGCGTCTATCAGGCTGGCTTAAGCAGATATAAATCGTACATTCGCCGGTTTCGCGTCGTTCCGTGTTTTTCTGACGCTCGATTACGGGTCTCCGTAATTCGCAAAATTGAAAGGTTAATCCGGATTAACCGAGCCTCTACTCAAACGTAGTATTTAACGCGTCTACCGATTGTCCTATATTCAGCTTTTTTCCGTTAGTCCAAGCTCATTATGGCTCTCGATCGTTATCGAAATTAAAACGTTAATCAAAACGAACAGATCTCCCGTTTCTCTGATTACCTGGAAGATCGACTTACAAAGACGCGAAAATTGGCTAACTCCCTGGCTCGTTAAACACCTCCAAGCGTAATATTTCCAATCTTATGCCGTAGTTTTGTACCGATATTATTACGATAGAACGCAATAGCGGGAGGTAATATTTCTACAGACAGCAATTTCCGTCTCTTCAATTTCGAAATTGTAGCAATTTCTGTCAATTACCATTAATGCTTGTATCTCTGTCAATTACGATTAATGCTTGTTCGAGTAATCGTCTGTTAATAAATACACGAGTAAACGACACCCACTATGGATTTCGATCGTTGTCGAAGTTAAATCGGTTAAACTCGATTAACCGATTCTCCGTTTGCTTCGAGTGACTACTGAATGGAGCTAATACCGGTATTAACACTTCAGCGACCTGTCACGTCGATCGGGGACCTAAGCGAATCTAACGTTATCGATCGGAAACGTCAATTATCATTGCAAGCGAAACAGCGATACCGCGATGTCTGATCATCGAAAACGTCGTAACTCTCGCTAAAAAGCGCGCAGACGAGATACTCTCGGAGGAATACAGCGTGATACTCGTTATCTATCGGTAAACGATTGTCCATGACGAGAGTACACGGTCGATGAAGCGTTGAGATGATCTCATCGCGTCTCAGACTATTACACCCAATCTCTCTTCGCAACGCGGTTGAGAAAACTAGTTTCGCGTTAAATTATTTAATTATTGGCTACCATAAAGAACAGGCACGCGACACCTGTTACAGGGCAGCGATCGTGGCGAAAGCCTGCAGAATCGGTCATTGGGGCCTGAGCGCAACGAAAGGATTCGTTATGTCAGAAAACTTCAACGGGATGGCCTGTTCGTCCTGGACCAGTGACAGGTCCACTTTGCGATCACATGCGAAAGAAAAAGAGAAAGAGAGAGAGAGAGAGAGAGAGAGAGAGACAGACAGACAGACAGACAGAGAGAGGGGGGGTGTAATTATCGAATGATGCATGGATCAAGTGACATTTCAACAACCTCCTGACGAAATCTAATCGATCGGAAACCTGTTCCGTTTTATCGAGAATCGTTTACCGACCCTACTATCCCGTGAAATTACCGGTATGCAAGTGCAAACGAAACCGAATACCGAATGCTTGCGTTTCTTCCTTTTCCTGTCAATTTCCACCTCTACTCGTTCGCCATTCAATCGCGAGACAGAGGAAATAAGGATAAATACGAGTTTCGGCGCGATCAATCGTCGCTGGCTAAGATCTCTCCTACTCGAGAGCAGCGGGCAAGAAACGCGACAAGAAATCTCTTGAAGTTTGCTAATAAAGTGAAAATGTTATTTATGAGATACAAAGCGCAAACAGAATGCGAGGTATTTATTGAAAATCAATCATCCTCGAGCTTTTCCCACCTGTCACGTCCCTATCGAACCCTCGCGATGCCGACCATGTGCCAAGAACAAAACGCTTATCCAAACGCTTTCACAAAACACGAGCTAAACGATTTACCACAATATTTCCAAACTTTCTTCCACGCTGACACGTGCAGGTACTTCTATCAGGAAGGAAAAAAAAAATAAAAAAAGAAAATAAGCGAATAGAGAAATGAGAAAAACGCTTAACGGTCTGAGACTATCGCGTACTATGCAGGAAAAAAGAGATCGCGCGAAAGGATCTGTCAGCCCAGCCTAGTCGGCCCGGCTGCTGAAACGAGAGCAAAACGGAAGTATGGATAATTAGCGAAGAACGGCGGAAGTGGTGGGAAATGTGGTACCCGACGTCGCGAATCCAGACCACATTTCTCTCTGAAAATGAAAGCAACGGACGAAAGCAGCCCGCGTAGACGAAGCAGAGCGTGCCAGTGAAAAGTGATTCGGATCGGACACGCGACGCATTTCAACGCAGCCTGGCTCTTCATCCCCGTCATCCTACGCGACAGTTTATCGCCTGTTCGTCGGCAGTTCATCGGCAGTTCATCGGCAGTTCATCGGGCGTCAATCTCAGCCGTCGCGACCATTACCGACTTATCGTTTTCGCTGAAATCGAAAGGGAAGGATACAGACCGGTGCCAATTGGCACTTGACACGCTCCGTGGAACGGTGCTGAAAATTCAGCCTCGTTGTCGTGGCTCGAGTGAACGGAACCGATCCACGCGACTGGCTCGCGTCAGATAAACCAGCCACATTTCACATTTCGCTTTGCTCCCTTTCCTTTCCGCGCGTTTCCTCGCGTCGCCCGCTCCATCGGCCGAATTAGACGTGTCTTAGTTAAGTGGGACATAAATAAAATTCGTCGGATTTTTAAAGGAAGACTCGTGCTTTAAGCTTGCCGGAGTACCGGTTCTATAGGATCGAGTGATTTATGGATGCATAGCCGGTCGATGCTGCGATATTTTTCACCAAATCGCTTGTTAAGCTAATCAAGGCCAATTATTCCAGGCTTTTACACACGTTTGGGGAAAATTCGAGTGGGAATTAGCCGAGATGCTTTGCATATTCTACTGAAATATGTGGTTGAGAGAGAATTTTCATTCAGGACCAGATCCGCGATTGGATTTCATTCGAGCATGTAGGCGGTTGGCTAATGGATTAATTCGCGCTTTCTCTGCGCTGAAATTTCGAGAAAAAGCCACGTTGCCCCGGCTTTATCAGCGAGACGAGGTTTTGTCACCGTGAAAGTCCGACACGTTGCGAAGTAACATTTTTTCCCGTGCTCGGGAATCGGTTAATTGTCAAATCAGCGTGACCGTGGCAAGCGGAGAGGCATCGTCCTGTGAAATTTGCCACTTCACCGGTGGAGAAACAGAGAACCTGGAATTTACGCGAACCAACGAACGGGTTTGAAATTCGCGATAACGAGAATTGCAGATTTCCTACAGGAAAACGTGGAAGCAAAGTGGAAATTTAATGGTACGTGTCACCGATCGATTCGTGCATAGAGATCCGCGCGAAACTCGCCATTCCTTCGAGCAATCGATTAACCTTGAACAAACTACGAATCTGGATACGATCTAGACAGCGTCGCAGCGATTACCAACTAGCAGCTACAAATCCTTTCCGAGACTTGGGGTAAAACCGTAAGTAAGGTCCGTGCCCGTTCCTTCCAGGAACGTTCTCTTGCCGTAGAAGAATGGCGAACCATGTTAAATCGTTCGCTCTATTCAACCGTGTATCTCCGGCATAAGAACAAGTGACAAGCATTAATGTCGTAATTCCCGGCGAGCCGTTGATTGACAGCTATATCCAGCGAAGAATGTATCATTTTCTCGTCGCGATGCATATAACAGAGTCCGTTTCAACATAGAATTGCTCCACATTTAACGAACTTCTTGTCGCGGCCAGCCTGCC